TCTTTGGTTTTTAATAATTTGATTACAGTGTGTCTTGGGATGTTCCTCTTTGGAATGAATTTAATTGGTGACCTCTGAGCTTCCTGCACTGGGACGCTGTCATCTTTCTCCATACTTGGGAAATTTTCAGTCATTATTTCCTTGAATATGCTTTCTGGGTCTCTTCCTTTTTCTTCTCCTTTGGGTATGCCAATTATGTGGAGGTTATTTCACCTGAGGGAGTCCCATATTTGCTGTATTTCTGTTTTATTTTTCCTTATTCTTTTTTGTTTTTGTCCCTCTGATTGGATAATTTCATATGTTCTATCTTTGAGCTCACTGATTCTTTCCTCTCCTTGATTAAGTCTGCTGTTGGATCTATCAAGTTCTTCAATTCAGATAATGCATTCTTTATTTCCAGAATTTCTTTTTTTTCTTTTTTTTTTTTTTTAAAGATGACCGGTAAGGGGATCTCAACCCTTGGCTTGGTGTTGTCAGCACCACACTCAGCCAGTGAGCAAACCGGCCATCCCTATATAGGATCCGAACCCGTGGCCTTGGTGTTATCAGCACCGCACTCTAATGAGTGAGCCACAGGCCGGCCCTAGAATTTCTATTTTTAAAAAAAATCAATTCTATTGCTTTGTGAAGTTCCTTGTTCCGCTCCTGAATTGTTTTTCTGATATCATTTCATTTTTTTATCTGTATTTTCTTGTGACTCCTTGAACTATGCATAAAAAGGTTATTCTGAATTCTCTGTCAGATATTTCATAAATCTGCTGTACTTCTGGGTTCATTGCTGGTGCTTTGTTGGTTTCCTTTGGTGGCAACATATTTCTGTGTACCTTCTTGATTTTTATGTCTTTATGTTGATGCCTGGGCATTTAACAAGACTGCTACCTCTTCTAGGTTATATAGGTGTTCTTTGGTGTTGTTAGACCGTACTGGTTAATATCAGAGTTTTGTCTCTGGTTTGTGGCTTTTGTCCATTTTGTGGTGGATTAATAGCTGCCACCACTACTTAAACTCTTCCCTGGAACTAGTGAGCTGTCCCATGGTTAATGCCTGAATTGGGAATATTCTCTGTGGGGTCCAGAATTTGAGCTCTGTGCTTGAATTAAATAGCTGCTTTGCTGTTAGTTCTCTGAGGAAGGCCTTTTGTGTAGATCAGATTTTAATTGTTTGCAAAATCACTTTTGTGTCTTGTGAGGTTACCATAAAGACTACTGCTATGTGGAAATTCTGGCCCAGGACTGCATCTTTCCTGCAGACTGCACCCCCCCTGGCATTCTATCGCCCTGACCAATCTCCACTGAGACCAGCTGCCCACTCTGTGCCCCAGTGTTTCCCAGTGGGCCAGCTTTTTCCCCAGACTCCAGTCACTTCCTGTGGGACAGGCCATGCACGGGTCCCTCACAATGACTCACTGACCTTTAGGTGGCTCCTTTCTCCAGTTGGCTGTGGTTCCTCGCTCCTATGTGGGCCCAGGGGAACCCTGCCAGTGGTCTTTCTGGTCTGTGGGCTGCTATGTGCACTTTCAAGCCCTGGAAGCCAATCTCTGTGTTGCAACTACTCTCCCCCATCCACCACCCTGTACCAGGCTGGCTCAGAAGCAGCCAGGGCCCAGAAAGATGGGAACAGTCCCTACTCTCTCTCACCATTGCCTTCTGCTACCTTCATGAACACTGAACTCTGAGGGTCTCTCTTCCTCTTCCCCTGCGCTCCAGTAGTCTCAGGACGGGAGTCTTTGCTTTGTAATAGTTGTGAATTGATTGCTTATGGGGGAGAGCAGCAGTAGGACTTGTTTATTCCACCATCTTGATGATGTCCTATTTTATTATTTAAAAAAACTTTCAACTTTGAAATATTGTCTGTGAAATTATAGACTCACAAAGGATTGCAAAAATAGTACATAAAGTTCCATGGACTCTTCACTCAGCTTCCCCCAATGGTGACATCTTATATAACTTTTGTACAATATCAATACCAGGAAATCAACATTGGTATAATACTGTTAATGAGCCTATAGACCTTATTCAGTTTTTATATGCCCTTGCCTGTGTGTGTGTTTGTGGGTTTAATTCTATACGGTTAGATCCCATGTATAAGTTTATGTTAAGACCATGATGATTAAATTGCAAAACTGTTTCATCACCACAATGGAACTCTCTCATACTACCTCCTTGTAGTTGCCTTCCACCCTGTCCTGCAACCACCATCCCTGTTCCTTGGAAACTACTAATTTGTTTCCCATCTCAACAGTTTCGTCATTTTGAGAATGTTATATGAATGGAATCATATAAATATTTCATGAATGGAATCATGTTACATAAGTGTAATCTTTTGAGACTGACTTTTTTCAGTAATCCTGATGCCCTGTGATCCATCCAAGTTGTTACATAGATCAGTAGTTTTTGTGTTTTTTTTTTAATGTAGAGTATTATTTTGTTAGATGGACTACTAGTGTTTATTTAGTCATTTACCTGCTGAAGAACATTTGAGTTGTTTCCCAATTTGAGTTATTATGAATAAAGCAGATATGAAATTTGAGTGCAGATATTTGTATGAACATAAATTTTCATTTCTCTGGCATCAGTATCCAACAGTGCAATTACTGGGTTGTACTGTATGTATCTGTTTATTTTTATAAGAAACCGCCAGACTATTTTTCCAGAATGGCTATACCATTTAAAATTCTTACCAGCAACATATCTTCTACTTTCTCTACATATTTGTCAGCATTTGGTGTTCTCCTATTTTTTATTTAGCCGTTCTAATAGGTGTGCAATGATATCTCATTGTGGGGTTAATTTGTATTTCCCTAAAGGCACAAGACAAATCTAAAGTACAAAATATAACTAAGAAGATCTCATACTGGTATTTGTTTATACATCATTACCTCTCTATTTTAATTACAGAGGCCAGAAAGAAGATTTATGTACAAAACTCAATTGCATTTCTAGAATGGAGCATCTAACAGCTAGTAACACTTAAAGAGAAGGCACCATTTACAATATTACATATAGTACTAAATATGAAGTAATAAATCTAGCAAAGGGATATGCAAGACCTGAAAAAGGAAAAAATTTTTTTTTTTTTTTGTCTTTTGTCTTTTTTCCGTGTCCGGCAATGGATCGCAACCCTCAGTGTTGCCCCCGTACCGGACCGGGGACCGGCAACGGGATTGCAAGCCTTGGCGTTGCTCCCGCGCCTCGCTCAGCCAGTGAGCGGGAGCCAGTCTGTGTGTGGGATCCGAACCCTCGGACGGGAGCGCCGCTGCGCTTCCCAAGCGGCGCACTATCCAGTGCGCCACCGGGCCGGCCCCAAAAGGAAAAATTTTAAAAATTAAGAGAAATTAAAGAAGAACTAAATAAGCATATTATCTTGTTTGTTGATTGGAAGATTTAACATTGTGAAGATTTCAATTCCTCCAAGTTGATCTATAAATTCAGTGCATATCCAGTCAAGATACCAATATGATTTTCATGAGATTTGATAAGATTATCTGGCAGTTATGTGGAAGAGTAAATAGCCAGGGCAGTTTTAAAAGAAGAATAGAGAGGAATAATTTGCCCTATCAGATATCAGGACTTAGTATGAATCTATAGTAATTAAAACAGTATGGTTTTAGCCAGTTGACATCAGTCAACTTTTTTTTTTGGCAGCTGGTGGTTATGAGGATCGGAACCTTGGTGCTATAAGACTGTGCTCTAAACAACTGAGACGTCAGTCAACTTTTTAATTTGGGGATTCCTTAAAAAGATTAGATTTAATCTTTTATTATGAATATTTGAAGTTGCCATCTCAGAAAGCAAATTTATGTGAGTGGTAGCTAAGTGGCTTTTAAGTAAAATTCACCATATTTTATAGATGTTGATACAATAGAAGGGTAAGGAATATTTTGAAATAATGAAAATAACATGGTATGCAAATATTCTGCAAGAGATTTGGGAGATATAGATGTAGATGTCTCTAGTTTTAAGGCCAATCTAGATTCATGTAATAGTTCAGTAATTTCATAAAAATCTTAGGACCTAATTCTGGATAGAGAATATCCCATGGAATCCATAGGGAGCTTCAGGTTTTTGTAGAACAATGTGAAAAACCTTGAACTAAATTAGGTGAGATTTAGAAGTTACTTCAGATTCTTCATTTTTAGGCGTATGTAGCCTTATTTTTTATAGTAGCTAAACAAAGTATATTGTAAAGTTATTTATTTGACTTAGGGAAATATGATTATCAGTTGTCACTTTTCTCAGTAAAAAATGAGAGAAAAATTTGAGACAGGAAAGAGAAAACCGTTTAAACAACATAATGACTGAAGAATTAAATAGCTGGTCTAATAGTCAAGACAAATATTACAATGTAGCACGTGCTCAAACACTAAAAGAGAGCTAGAAATTAAAAGCTCTCCGAGTTTAGGGGAGGAGGGATCACTGTGGGTCTGTGGTGGATGTCATTCTGTAGTCTTTGGGTGGGGAAAGGGGAGGATGGCAGCATTGCAGCGGATGAAAGGGGTGAAGACAGAGGCCTAGGCTGGGCAAGAGTAAGACATGTTCAGAGAGAGACATAGTTAGGCGGCTCGTAGAGTATTTAGATGTGAAGTGTAAAGGGCTTGAGGAAATATGGCCTCGGTCGGGGTACTTGGGGAAGACAGTATCAAATCAGACTCCAGGAACTGGGGAACCAATTGGATATTATCAGGTGGTAGAGTCATCAAAAATAATGGAAATTTTGAGCTTGGTTGATTGGTAGGAAAATGATATTATTAACAAAATAGAGAAGTAAGGGAACAGAGCAAATTATTTGGAGATGGTAAATAATTTCATTTTCACTGGTTAAATATATCAAGCTTTATTTTTACATCAAAACTAATTCAAGAATGAGCTACATGTTTTGTTGAAATCATGTTTTATATCTAATCATACTTTATAACATAAAATACAGTTCTAAGAAAATATTGTGTGTTGTCAAAAAAATATAATGTTGCCATCCTTTTTGTGTTTTTTTTTCTTCCTTAGATTCCAGTATAGTTAGTGATGTTTTACTTCAAGACTTATTGGCATATGTGTCTTCAAAACATTCCTATCTCAGAGAGCTTCCTCAGAGGCAGCCTCAGAAAGTGAACAGCATAGAGTTTGTAGAGTTGGAGCAGCTTCAGCCTGACATATTAGTCCATGTGGTACTAAGAATTGTTGATATCACCGTACTGACAGGTAAACATTTTGAGTGCCTCCTTAATATTAGATTATGAAAAAAATTAAGATACAAGACTATCTTAGTGTACCATTTAGTTATCACTATATATTTACCATCAGATACTGAAGTGTGGTATCATGTGTGATAGAGTAATGCCAACTAAGGAATCCTTTTCCTTTTCCAGAGGCATTATACAGTTATAGAGGACAGAAGCAAAGGAAAGTTATTTTAACAGTGGAACAGACCCAAGGTCAACATTATGTGCTTGTTTTATGGGGTCTTGGAGCAACCTGGTACCCTCAACTTCAAAAGAAAAAAGGTAAATACACCAAAAAGCATTTAACTTGTTTATATTTCAGTAAATGATTAATGCTATGAGTCTAAGATGAAGAAAATCTTCACATTAGACATTTGAAATAGTAGTGGTCATGACTGAATATTCTTTTGTAAATTTCTTCTGTTATAATTTTATACCTCTTACAGCAATTCAATTATCTAAAAAGTCCTCTGTAATTAACGGTGGCAATATAAAGGCTTAAATTTATTCCCAGGTATATTACTTTACCTTTTTTTTTTTTTTTCGTGTCTGGCAACGGATCGCAACCCTCAGTGTCGCGCCCGTACCGGACCGGAACTGGCAACGGGATCGCAACCCTTGGTGTTGCTCCCGCACCCCGCTCAGCCAGTGAGCGGGAACCGGTCTGTATGTGGGATCCGAACCCTCGGCGGGAGCGCCGCCGCACTCCCAAGTGGCGCACTGTAGCAGTGCGCCACCAGGCCGGCCCTTACTTTACCTTTTTAGTGAAGATCTTATCTCCTTTGAATAATGTTTTTTAAAAATTTAATCCTGGAGAAGCTTCTACAGTTTTTTTTCAACCAAAGTACTCTGATAAATAAACTCTCTGGTTATAAGGCACACATTAGGGGAGTTACATTAACTCTTTCAAGTCACAATTACCGTTCAATAAATTACTATGTTCCAGGTTTTTATTCCAGTTGTTTCAAAAGTGTGGTCTGTTAGCCATCCATAGATTGTTCATGGTTAAAATATGACCCATGATTACATATTTCTTTAAAACATATATTAATAATTTATGGTGTATTGAGTTAAATGGAATTGATGTTTCAACAAAATGGCATAATATATTCCTTTTGCTATTGTGAAATCCTTTGGTTGTAGCAATCAGAGGTAGTTTAATTAGTGGATTATGAGTTATTTTAACCTGCTAAATTAATTTAGAGGTTAAGTGTATGACCCAATATTTTTTACTCAAAGGAGTTAGTGTCTCTTCCCAAACTTCTGCCTGCCAAATCGTTATCTGTAGGTAGGATCTGTCACATTGTCTCTCTTAATCATTAATAGTCTATAACTAGGATTTGAGATAAGTCTGACTTTTGACTTTTATGTTAGGATCAAACAGTGACAGAAGTTTGTTTGGTTGAGAAATCCAACAAACATGTATTGATGATAGACTAACCATGATCATTGACCATCATATCTTAGCCAGAAACATGAGTCTAGTGCATGCTGAACAAAATGTAGGTCAAAGGTATAATGGAGCTGTAGCAAAGCAGATTGCTCCGTGCTTAATGTGAATATTCTTTTAAAGTTAATGGTTGTTTAGTTAATAGAAGAGAAATTATAGCATTCTCCAGATAATTGTATGGTATTTAGGTTAATATCGAAAACTCTTGGATCCAGGAATTCAGATGTAGTTGCTCTTTGTTCATTTCTTCATTCAGCATACATTATAATCCTTGTTTTTAAATTTTAACGTCCACTGCAATACCTCAAGGTAATTGTTTTTAAGGGAACATACCAATTTTGAAGGACTACTTAAGTGAGTGATTCTAGTTCCGGAATATGTAAGCTTTCTCTTATTCAGTTAGTATTTCTTGAGGCCATCTGTGTATTAACCTCTATAGTGGACACTCATTTTGCTTGTTCCTAAGGATAAAAAACTCACATTTAGATGATATAATCGAATGATCATCAAGCAGTCATTACTGAATACTGGAGATAACAGAGTTGATGTTTTGGGGAAGTATAATAAGAAATCCCCAATTCACATTCTTTCGAAATATGCATTGCTGATAGGAATTTGGCATTCCTTATATGTAGCAAGCATTGGTCACAGTTTAGGTCTTAATAAGGGTGAACTAGAGGCATTAATTACACTTCTAAGGAATAATTGGGTAAGCATGAAATAAGCTATTCAGAACTAAATGTCATTCCAATGCAGTATCCCTCTGAAAGTATTTAACAGAAATCCAGTATTTCAAAACTATAAAAATTATAATAATGTACTTTCATGACATTACTAATTAAGTGGAATAATGCAAATGATCCCAAGATTTATGATTATACTTTACACAAAGTCATAGTTATGTCTGCATGGAGGTTTGAAATCCATTAACACCCTTAATTTGTGATTCACATAAGGAATTATATCACAGTTGGTCTCATACCACTCTCCTGCAGATTTGCTAACCTAACCAGCACACGGCTCCTTTCTGTTACTTGCACATGCCAACCTTCTTCCTGCTTCAGGATCTTGAATGTATCTCTTGCCTCTGCCTGCAACACTTTTTCTCCAACTTTCCCACATGGTTGTCTCCTTCGAGTCTAGGCTCCAATTTTATACCCTCAGAGAGGCCTCACATGTATGTACACACACAGTCACTCTCTGTCAGATTTTTTGTGTTCCACTCTACCTCATTTGCTCGCTTATCAGTTAACTGATTTTCTCATTGGATTGTAAGTTTTGTGAATACAAGCACTGTGTCTAGTTTATTTCACCTTTGTATCCCGTCACACAGTACTGTGTTTGCCCAATCAGATTTTCTTTATGAAGGAAGGAATGAAGAGTAAAATACAGATCAGGCAATCATTCAAAATTCCCACTGTCTTTAAGGAGTAAGGGACTCAGGTTTGAGGAGGAAATAATTTTGCTTGTTTCAAATGATAAAAAGAATTACAAAGTTAAAAATAATGCACATGAAAGTTTTGCAATCCATTGGATTTATTCAAAAATTATATTTAAACTTTGGCATCTAGAGCTTATAGTTAGATCTTGCATTGCACTTTGGCTAGCTTAAAGAATTAAGGGTATATATTTGAAGTATATGAGGGAACTTCAAAAGATTGATGGAAAAATGGAATTAAAAGATAATACAAGTCTTTCCATGAACTTTTTGAAGACCTCTCGTATAAGGTTATCTAATAATACCTAAGGGAAAGAGTGCTGATGGACTTTGGGTATTTAGAACCAGGAACTGAAGAGCTGCAAGAGTCTCAGACAGCTTCTCATGTGTCTGTATTATGCTCTTGGTGTAGACTTCTCTGCTTCTTCACCATATGGAAAGCAGAAAATGGTTACTCTTTAGCTGCAGAATTTTTCCGAATTCCTGACAAAAAGAATCTGATTGCCCAGACAAAATCTGATTCAATCAGCTGTGACCAGGGAGACAGAGTCACAGAATACAAATATGAGGGCTTGAGCTTATTTCAGTGGGTGAGAAGTTGAGGGAGTCATTTGTGGTCTGCATGGACACATAAAGGTATTTACTACCAAAAATATGTATATTCGTTAGCTTAGAAGGATGTATGTGATGTACTATTTAGTTTAAAAAGTATATTATAAAACTTCATGTATAGTAGGGTTCCATTTTAATAGAAGTGTGTCTATAAGTATGAATGTACATTTAAAAATCTGAAAATGTATGTGCCAGAATGATTGCAGTGGTTATCTCTGTGTGGTAGTATTATGAGAGGTTTTTAGTTTTTCTTGATACGTTTAGTTTGAATTTTATGTTTGTGAGAATCTGCATTTATTTTTTAAACCTTTTATTATAAAAGCTTTCAAACATATCCAACAGTAGAGAGAAAAGTAAGTACAATAAACTTAAGTACCCATTAGCCACCTTATGAAAGCATGGCCAATCTTATTTTGTATATTACCTCCCTTTTTCTTTCTTAAATTGAATTTATTTTTAAAAACTGAAAAAATTGTACATATTTATGGGGTACAGTATGATATTGTGATGCATGCATACAAGTGTAATGATCAAATCAGTGTAGTTAGCATATCCATCACCTCAAATCTTGTCATTTCTTTGTGCTGTAACATTCAAAATTCTCTCTTCTAGCTATTTGAAAAAATACAATGAATTATTGTATTTTTCTTTTCTTTTACTGTCTAAATATTTCACAATGTGTATATTTTATTTTATAATTAAAAAGTAAGACTAAATCTTTTTCCTTTTGATAAAAAGAGAATAATGTTTGGAACATCTAGCTAACACTTGAGAAAAAATAGAATTAAATTTATACCTCATGTTTGTGCCAAAATAAATTCCAGATGCATTGAAGGTTCAAATATATAAAAAAATGAGACAATGAGTAATAGAAGAAAATATAGGCATTGGTAGGTTAAATAAAACGCAGCAATAAAAACTACTATACATAAAAACCACCTTTACAGAATTAAGAGGCACATAACAAACCAGAAAAAAATTGCGTCCTGTCAGAAAATAATACAACAAGCAAAAGACAAATACCTGTAAAGATAAGTGGGCAATGAAGATGGACAAGTGAGTCCCCAAAGAAGAAATAAAAATGACCAATAACCTTTCTTAAGGACAATTGACAATGCATGTGAAAGAATGTGGGATACCTTTGGCCCAATAATTACACCTCTAGTAATTTATTATGGCTATGAATAAAGGTGTAGCTAAAAGTGTGTTTATCATGGTATTGTTTATAACAGTGAAAAATAAAAAACAACCAACATGCCCCAAAATAGAGGATTGCTGTAATAATTTTTTAAGATTTGGGTATATCTTTGCAATGGCATGTTATGCAGTATTTAAAAATAATCTAGAATAATACTTAATGTTGAAATATATTTGACATATTAATTAAAAATCAGATAAATCCAAAACAACTGATTGTCCATTAAAATGCTAACTGTTTATTTTAGGGTGTTGAGATTATAGCAGCTAATTATTTATTTACTTGTCTGTAGTTTCTAAGCATGTATTTTGTAATAAGAAAGCTCTTTTAAAAAAGGATTGGTTTTAAGCAGAAACTTGGAATATGTATGCTTTAGTTCTATCTAATGATGCTCTGTCTGAACAGATTTATTGACTTGTTTGATGATTCTTCATCAAAAAAGAAAAAAAAATGTCTAATGAAAGAAACTAAGGAGGTAGGTGGGTGGAGTGAATTAGATTTATGGCCTGAAGTGGGAAACTAAAAAGACAGCTGTTACTATCAGAAAAATTAGTGCTAAGAAGCTTCCTTTTGTTTGATTATAGTTTTAAAATTAAATTTACTAATATAGAATATGATTATTTGGCAAGAAGTTCTGCTAACTGTGGTTTTAAGAATTAGAATTATTACTGGGAATTAAAAATAGGTGCTACTGTGTCTGAATGCTTTTTTATTGATGTTGCTCTGGAAAAAAAATTTTTTTTGGCAGCTGGCCAGTACAGGGTGGAAAAATTAACCAAGAGGTTGAAAGATCAGTGAAATACTGGTTATGGTAGACCTGTGTCCATTTCAGTGTCCCCCCTTTTTAAAAAAATATTTGCCTGTAGGTTTCAATGAAGATTTGCTATTCTCTAAAGCAGTTGGTTATGATAAATTCTGACTGTTTAGGAGACCAAGAAATCTTTAGAAAAGATTTTATAAAATTACGTCTAGCATCCTTATCCTAATGCCTTAATGCAGCATTCATATTTTCTCTCTTTATAACCAAATTTTTTAGTGATAAAAGTTGTATTTAACTGATTTAATCAGGCTGACCTATTTCATCTGATGCTGAGCCTAGACTTTTTCCTTTTTAGTGACTTTTTAAATTTGTTTTTGTTTAAGGTTATATTTGGGAATTTAAATATCTTTTTGTTCAGCGCAATTGCATACTAGAAAACCTAGAATTGCATACAACGCCTTGGTCATCCTGTGAGTGTCTACTTGATGATGATATAAGAGCAATTACATTTAAAACAAAATTTCAAGAAAGTGCACCCTCCTTTGTGAAGATGTCAGACTTAGCAACCCATCTAGAGGATAAGTGTTCAGGTAAGAGCTTTATATACATAAAACATTGCTAGGGTTTTGTTTTGTTTTCAATTTTTTTTAATTGAATCATAATTGATTATACATATTTTGGGGATTCAATGTTGACATGTCGATGAAATCAATATTACTAGTATGTATACTGTTACAAATTGTACTTATTCTTTATGCCCCTTGTCCAGTCTCTCCCTATCCCGCTCTCCTTCCCCCCTCCCACCACTGATAACCCAAGATTTCTTCTCTCCCTCTGAAAGAGTAATGGTTACTATGTTGATTTGTTGCCTAGATGATCTGTCCAATGCTGAAAGGTGTGTTCAGGTCCCCAAATATTGTCATAGAACAGATGCTTCTTCTGTCACTCTGGAATGGGCTTTGTGGTGACAGACATCCTCTTCTTTTCTTTGGTCTCTCTGGTGACTCTCCTTGTGTCAATGCACTCCAGTGGCTGGCAGACCATCTGCGTGGTGGTTGTGACATCTAGCCACTTTCGCGGCAGCCGTGGTTACTGTGGTGGCTGTGGTGGGCCACCCACATGGAGGTGATGTTTTTGGCATGCTCCTAGGCGCTGGTGGTGTGCCTGGTTGCAGGTGGTGGGTATGCTAGTTTTGATATGAGCAAAGAAGCTACCTTTATGGGAAAAAGTATAATTGAGTATAAAAGTGTAATACAGATCTTTGCAAATAGCTGAACCTGATATTGGCAATTTCTTAGTTTTTTGCTTCCAGTCCTTTGAGGTTAATTTGTAATTATTAGAGATCACTTAAAAATATTTTTTGTGTGTAGTTACCAGCAGCTCATCATCTGATAAATCAGAAATAGAAAAATGACCTTAACCAGAGTTAATGTTGAGAGAAACATCGTATAAAGTGACTAAGCTCTCATCTAGACATGGTTATTAAGATTTAACGTTGATATAAAATCTGTGAAATTTACTTACTGCTTGTAAAATGTAGTAATATACTTCCTGAACTCAAATGTGTATGTGTGTGTATAAAATTCATCCTCAGAAGCATACCACATAGAAGAATGCCTTAGATGATGGATTTTATATACATATACACCTTGCATTAGTTAAATATTAGAGTGATTTATTTTGAGTAAAGTAGCAAAAGGAATACATTTTAGGTTCAAAATGCCATAGACTTAGGAATGACAAGAAATTACAATATGGAAAATAATTGGATAAATCACAATTTTAGTGGGAAATATGTTTCATTAGATTGTGTTGGCTTCCTAACTATAGAGATAATGCTAAGAGGATGCTAACTCCTAGTCGAAGGTATAACAAATTAAATAGCACTTGAAGCTGTAGTTACAGTTGCTAAATGCCAGTAGTTAGCATTTAATGTTATTTAATGTCATCAAATGACAGTGATTATCAGTTTTGGAAACAAAGTGTTCCATTGGCTATTATCGTAATTGCATTTAGAGGGAAAATAAGGATTGAAGAAAATAGGATATATCTGTAAATTTATTTTGTTACATGGTTTGAATTTTTTAATCAAGAAGAAAATGGCCAAAAATTTTCTCAGAATTTGTGTAAGATTATAATTTTTGGTCCTTTTATAGGTTATTAGGAATAACTCAGGAACTTTGGATCCTGATACTGAATTTTAACTTTATTCTATCATTTGCATGAATAGTTTTCTAAATTCTTATATGGTTTTAGATTTTATGAGATGCTATGTGTAGTTTAAGTTAAATGAGACTCCTTTTACAATTTTTTTTTTTCCCTTTTTTTGTCTTTTTTCGTGTCGGGCAACGGATTGCAACCCTCAGTGTCGCGCCCGTACCGGACCAGGACCGGCAACGGGATCGCAACCCTCGGTGTTGTGCCCGCACCTCGCTCAGCCAGTGAGTGGGAACCGGTCTGTATGTGGGATCCGAACCCTCGGCGGGAGCGCCGCCGCGCTCCCAAGCGGCGCACTGTAGCAGTGCGCCACCGGGCCAGCCCCTCCGTTTACAATTTAAAAAAAAAAAAAAAGAATCTGGTCCAAAATGAAATAAGTTGAAACTCCTAAGAGATCACATGCTAAGATTCTCAAGTGTTTTTCTGGGGCTTTTTTATTAACATGCTGTGCCCCCTATTGGTACTTCCGCAGAAATTTAAAAGTTGTATCATATTTCAGAGTTAGTGCTTTTCAGATATGGTTCAGAGTATCACATTTTTTTTAAAAGAAAATTGAACAGATTTTGAGGTATAATTTTCATGCAGTAAACTGCACTTATTTAAAGTGAGCTTTGACATGAAGCTGGTGCCATCACCACAGTCAAAATCATGTCCTTTCTGCCCCTTTGTAATCTCTCCCTCCTGCCCATCCTTGCCTCCCAACCCTTCATGCAACTACTAATCTGCTTTCTATCACTAGATATTAGTTTGAATTTTCTATGATGTTATATAAGTAGAATCATATAGTACAAACACTATTTTGTCTGGCGTCTTTCACTTAGCAGATTCTTTTGAGATGCATATATGCTGTTGTACATATCAATAGTTTGTTTCTTTTTATTCTATTGTATGGATATACCATGATATATCTTTTCATATGTTGATGGACATTTGGGTTGTTTCCAGTTCTTGGCTATTACAAATAAAGCTTCTATAAATATTCATGTACAAGGCTTTATGTGGACGTAGTCTTCCTTTTCTCTTGAGTGAATACCTGGGAGTGTAATAAATAGATGAATTATATGATAGGTATATGTTGAACTCTTTAAGAAACTGCCGAACTTTCCCAAAGTGGTTGTATCATTTTATATTCCCACCAGCAGTTTTTGAAAGTTCTGTTTTCTCCTCATCTTCATCAACACTTGGTTTTGACATTCTTTTTAATTTTAGCTATTCTAATAGGTGTGTAATGGTAGCTCATTGTGGTTTCAGTATGCATTTCCCTACTGGTTGATGATGGTGAGCATCTTTTCATGTGCTATATTGCCATCTATATGTCTTTGGTGAAGTGTCAATTGAAATCTTTTGCCCATTTTTAAAAATCAAGTTGATTGTTTTCTTATTATTGAATTTTGAGAGTTCTTTATGTATTCTAAATATAGATTCTTTACCAGATATATGCTTTGCAAATGTGTTTTTCTAGTCTGTTGCTTGTCTTTTCATTCTTTTAACCAGGTCTTTTGAAGAGCACTAGTTTTAAATTTTAACGAAGGCCAATTTAACCATTTGTTCTTGTATGAACTATGATGTCATATCTAAGAAATATTTGCCTAACCCAAGGTCACAAAGATTTTTCTCCCATGTTTTCCTTAGAAGCTTTAGAGTTCTGGGTTTTATATTTAGGTCTATAATTCATTTTGAGTTAATGATTCTTATATATGGTGTGAAGTATGGCTTGAAGCTCGCTCTTTTTGAATATGAATATTCTATTGTGCAAGCACCATTTGTTGAAAACTTTATTATTTTTCCAGTGAATTGCCTTTGCCCTTTGTAAAATAGCAGTTGTCCGTATATGTGTGGTCTATTTCTGGACATTCTTTTTTCTGTTCTATTGATCTGTTTGTCTGTCTTTACACCAGTACCACCCTGTTTTAATTGCTGTTGCTTCACAATAGTCTTGAAGTCAGCTACTATTAGCCTTCAGACTTTGTTCTTTTTCAAAGTTGTTTTTGGCAGTCTAGGTCCTTTGCATTAGCATACAAATTATAGAAGCAGCTTGTGAGTTTCTACAAAAAGCCTGCTTGAATTTTGATTGGGATTGTGGTGAAGCTATAGATCAATTTGAGGAGAACAAAGTGAGTTTGGCAACCCATGAACAAAGTGTATCTCTCCACTTAAGTCGCCTTTAATTTCTCTCATCTGTGTTTTGTGTTTTCAGAGCAACAGGGCTTTCACATCTTTTGTCAGACTGATTCCTGTTTTGTATTTTTATGCTGTCGTAAATGATATTTTTAAAAATTTCAATTGCAATTGTTTTTGCTAAATATAGAAATATAATTGATTTTTTTGTATTGATCTTGTATTTTATAACTTTGCTAAACTCATTAAGCTCAATAGTAACTTTCCTGTAGATTTGGATTTTCTGTATAAATGATCATGTTGTTTGTGAATAGAGACAGTTTCACTTCTTCCTTTCTAATCTGGATGCCTTTTATTTATTTTTCTTGCCTCACTGCACTTGGTAGTTCCTCTGGTATAATATTGAAAAATGTTGTGAGAGTAGACGTTTTTACCTTCTTTCTGATCTTAGGGAGAAAACATTTATTCTTTTATTATTAAATGTGATGTTGGCAGTAGGTTTTTCATTGATTATTTTTAACAGGTTGATGAAGTTCTCTTACTAGTTTGCAAAAAATATTCTATCAGAAATGGGTGTTAGAATTTGCCAAATGCTTTTTCTCCATCTGTTGAGATGATTGTACAATTGAAAACAAAATCTTTCAGTATAGTTAATTATATTGATTTTTGAATGGTAAGCCAACTTTGCATTCATGGGATAAAACTAACTTGGTCATGATATATATCCTTTTTATGTATTTTTGGATTCAATTTGCTAACATTTGTTAGGAATTTTTAGGTCTGTGTTCATGAGGGAAATTCGTCTGGAGTTTTCTATTCTTTTAATGTCTTTTTTTTTGGATTTGGTATTAGAGTAATGCTTAGAGAATGAATTGTGATATAGTTCCTCCTCTTCAATTTTCTGGAAGTGTTTGTTTAGAATTATGATGATGTCTTCCTTACATGTTTGGTAGAATTCCTAAGTGGGCCTGAAGTTTTTTTTTTTTTTGTCTTTTTTTGTCTTTTTCCGTGTCCGGCAACGGATCGCAACCCTCAGTGTTGCCCCCGCACCGGACCGGGGACCGGCAACGGGATCGCAAGCCTCGGCGTTGCTCCCGCGCCTCGCTCAGCCAGTGAGCGGGAGCCGGTCTGTATGTGGGATCCGAACCCTCGGACGGGAGCACCGCCGTGCTTCCCAAGCGGCGCACTATCCAGTGAGCCACCGGGCCGGCCCCCTGAAGTTTTTTTTAATGGAAGCCTTTAACTACAAATTCAA